CTCATCACTGTGACTCATTTTCATAGGTATCATTATCAAATCTTGGTAGAACAATGGCAACACTGCATTCTGGAAAACCTCACTGAGGAAACAGTGTGTCTGAGGAGACAGTAATGCTCATTAAAATCAAGGTAAAGGTATGAATAATGCTGTGAAAGGGTAAGAGAAGGCTTTCTCACTTTCCCTCCCACATCCTCCCATATGGGGACTCCCCAGCCACTGCTGCAGTTCTCTGGTGCACTCTGAGCTCTGATCCTGCGGTGAGGCCAGCCTGGGGCGGGTGGCAGCAGACTGAGGAGGGTCTACTGTCCATGCGACTCAGAGAGGACAGGGAAGTCTCTTCTGAGTTTCTGTAGACGCCAGAAGCACATGAAAACTGCTGTGAAGAACTTAATTTATACATGTTCTCTGCAGTTGCAGTATACTAGGTGACAAAACACCTGGAAAGTTGCTTAAAACTAAAAGATGAATAAGCAAAAAAAAAAAAAGCGCAGAAAGTGGAATGACTGATGGGTGTGGACAGCAGTTGTGTTTCATCAGCTTCTGCTGACTTCCATCAAACAGCCTTTCCTCCAACGCAGGTTTGAAGGTTTCTACCCAAGAATCAGACAGCCTCAGCTACGTTCCCCGCACAGAGAATGAGTGGAAAATTAGCACCCCTGCTGCTCAGACTTTCTGTGTCTCTGTCAGAAAGTATTCTGTTATGTACTGTCACAGAGGATGGTGTAAACAGATGTGTATTAGTCTAAGATGTTAGAATTGTCCTTCCTCGTTCAGATAGACGCTTCTGATGTAATTTCAGGAATATTACTGCCTGCTGGTCAGTGAACGCTCCCTGATTTTGTGTTTGGGAAGAATATGAATACCACATAGGAGTACGTGAAAGGCCAGGTCCACAGACACTTGAGAGGTGTCCTGAATATTACATCATTCTTGTGGCTCATAAGATGGGAAAAGAGACTGTCTTTCATTTCCTCAGAGGACAGGCTTGGAAAATCAAACATCCCCTCATGTCACTTCCCCATGAAAATTTAACAGTGGGATTAAAAGTGTCCATGGTGGGGCTGGAGATTTAGCTCAGCAGCATAAGCACCTGACTTGCAAGCAGGCAGTCGTGAGTTTGATCCCTGGTACCAATTAAAAAAGAAAAAGACAAAAAAAAAAAAAAAGTGCCCATGGCTTTCTATGAATGGAAGGCATAGTAACTTGATAGGTCACCCTCCAAACAGAGAAAACTATGTTTCTGTTAAGCAGCTTGAGTTCTCAAACCTTACTCTATTTTCTAGTCAAAGAAAGTTGGTTGAACTTTAGAATTATTTTCCATAACAGAAAATCCCCACTGCACTATTTTATTTGAAAATTCAATGTGAACTACAACTCAATCTACATGTTTACAGAATTCTCATAGCCAGGAAGGTTAAATATAAACTGCTGGGGCTGGGGATTTAGCTCAGCGGCATAAGCGCCTGCCTTGAGTTCGATCCCTGGTGAGTTCGATCCCTGGTACCGATAAAAACGAAAAAGACAAAAAAAAAAAAAAAAAAAAAAAAAAAAAATATATATATATATATATATAAACTGCTTTCTAAAGGAATAACCCTAACACAATTATTGTTATTTTGAGATAAATTTTGGGATTGCCAATTCAGTGGTTTCTATACTTTTCCACATAGTATCAATAACTGCAAATTTAATATTAAAGATACACTTAATCTGTTCAAATGTCCTTACCGTCTGTTTAACGTTGGTTGACAGGTGTTAGATTTGCACACATCACACTTTTGTGTATGGATCACAACATAAACTAATTCCACAAATGCAATATGGTGAAATTTATGTCTTAAAGCCTCTAAAATGACAGTATAACTTCATTCAGGCATTAAGAAGCTCATCATCTGAGTGTCCAAGGGCATCGGGGTTTGAATGTGGATCCAGGTCTGCAAACAGATTGAACCAGGCTGACCTGTCTTGGTTATCATTGTTAGGGGCTGTTAAAAAAGAAACACATTAAAGAATTTTAGCTTTTTAAATTATATTTTGTATCACATTTATAATTTTAAAGCAGATGCTTCTTTTGAGTAAAAAATGGACCGTAATTATATCCCTAAAAGAATAATTTTAGAAAGTTAATGCAGATACCTTGTAGTTTGCTAAGGTATCTATAATTAAGCAGTTTCAGGCTGCTCTGAGAAAGGACAAATTCAAAATGTTGCCCAATTGGTAAGTAGTGTGGTCATCTTAGAAACACTGAATTTAAGATAACTTATAGAAGGCTCTCAAGCTTTAAATTAAAAGGAACTTTTGGGGCTGGGGATTTAGCTCAGCGGCATAAGCGCCTGCCTTGCAAGCAGACAGTCGTGAGTTCGATCCCCGGTACTGATAAAAAAGAAAAGGAACTTTTGTTCCCAGCAAGTAAGAGATTACATTTATAACCAATGTAAATAGCACTAAGTTTATAAAAGTAATATTACAAAAATAATAGACAACCTCCTACATTGACGTGTCCAACAGTTTTCATTTAGCTTCACAACTGTTTCCACATTCTTTTAACAATGTTTTGATATACATAATCATTTACAGTGCACTGTGTCTCAGAACAACCTTCCAATCAGACCTATCCCATCTCTCTGCAGAGTGGAAACTTTTCCACATCAAGAGTAACAAGGTTCACCACAGCCAATCCTGGAGCAGATTAAGTGTAGGCCGAGGCTGAGGACTAATAACCACACACAGTGGTGTAGGCAGCTGGTCATGTCATAAGGCTCCCTGGGCTTCTAAAGGGGTCCACGATGCAGGCTGGAGATCACAGGACAAGCTTGTATTTCTGGGCAAGACAAGCCTCCATGAGCAGGGGGCAGAGTCAGGGCAACTCTCTGACAGTCAGGGTTGACACCTGCCCCAGTCCAGAGTGCTGGGGTTTGGGATCTCAGCCTCAAGGACCATGACATACTTGTCTACTTCTCTTCCTGGGCTCCTCAGGGTAGCGTTCACGACAACCATGTGAGTTACGGCTTTAAGTCCTGGGCATACAATCTGCTAATGACACACTGGGCAGGACACTGAACCTTAGGGCTCTTGTTGGCTCATCTGTGTGAATAAACCTGTGAATTCTCATTAAAACAGGACACTAGAGAGTAAGCAGAAGGCGATATATAATTCAAAAAACAGGTATCAGCCAGGACTTCTGGTCACTACAGCAATACCTGTCCTCCCTCTTGCAGCTGTTGAGAGGTTCTGCTGAGTATGTAAAATTATACAGCATTATAAGACAAGCGATGGGTTTTTTTCATTAGTAACATTGGAAAATGAAGGTATCTCAGTTCCTTTCCCCAGGCTGGGACACACTTAAAAGAGGAAAAGTTTCCAGTGTTTGGCTGTGTCCAGTGTGTTCAACCTGAAATTGTCTGGTTGGACAGAAATACATGACGAGAGGACATAGGGAGGAAAGCTGCTCGCCTCACAGTGGCCAGGAAGCAGCAAGGAGCCAGAGAAGAAAACACACCCTCCCCCAGTGACTGCATCTGTGACCAGACCCTACCTGCTCATGGCACACTCAGCTGTGACCCCATCAGCCCACAGATGCCAGTAGCTTCCCATCTCGTCACCTTCCAAAGCCTAGCAGCAGAACACAAGAGACTCTGAGGGGTTTTCTGGACCTAAGCCTAACAAAGGTCTGTTACATTTGTTAAAGTGGGCTCTTCCATGCACTATGATTGCTTCCAAAGATTCTTATAGTACAGCAAATAGAAAATGAATCAATATACATACAGAAGAAGCCCAAGTGATTGTAATACTCACAAAGAGAAAAACATCCAAAAACAGTACTAGCATGCAGACTCAGAATACGAGGACCCCAACAGCTTTCCCTGTGATCCCACCCAACCCCTGGGCACTGTCCCACCTTGGGAAACAATGGGGACGTCACATTATGGGCCATTAATAAGGGTCTCAGCTGTGTGTTTGGTGGTAAGATTACTTGGTTATAGGTCCATGTGTGTGTGGAAACCACAAAGATGGCTTTCATGTTCACTATGGGGCTGCTGCCTGCTTAACACGGTGGTGTAGGCAGGGCTAGCTGAGGACAGTGAGTATCACTGTGGCCCCCGAAAGAGTTGAATGCATGATGTTTTGTACACACTGCATAAGTCAGTAGCCTTTCTGTATAAAATATTTTTTAAAAATTCATGAATATATATGGGGCTGGGGATTTAGCTCAGCGGCATAAGCGCCTACCTTGCAAGTGTGTGGTCATGAGTTTGACCCCTGGTACCGATAAAAAAGAAAAAGACAAAAAAAGGGGGAAAATTCATGAATATAAATTTCTTTTAACTTATTGAAATAAATTTGATTACTGTAAGTTTTAGTTGGTATAAATAGTATTTTTATATATTGGACAATAATTATTCAAATTCAAATAAAATAGACTTGATCCATTTATAGACTTTATTAATTTTAGAAGCAAAAAGGCCAGTAACGGTGATTGGATCTATTTGTACCACCAGAACAAGCTGCCCAATGGGACAGGTATGCGTGTAAGCCATCAGTTCAAGCTGGTGGGAATGTGCTAATACAAGTAGTATGTGAGAGTCTAGCTTTTCCATGTCCTTGCAAACAAACAGAATTTTTTTTCTCATTTTAGCAGTGCAGTAATCCAAGCACTTGGGAGGCTGAGGCAGAAGGACTGCTGCAAGTTCAAGATTAGCTTGAACTACATAATGAAATTTTGTTTCAAAAAACAAACATTTCCTAAGTAATGAATAGGGGCACTTAATGAATATTTAAGTTATTAAAAATTTCAAAGCTTACTAAAACTTTCAGGGATGAGATTGTAGTAGAGTACTTGCCTAGTACACCAAAGGCCCTGGGTATGATTCCTCACAAGCAAATAAATAAAACAAACAAAACCTCTCAGGCTTTGTTTTATTCTAGCTTTTTGCTGATAAACCCACCCCCACCAAATCAGCCAAAGTGATTATAGGTTAGCAGCACCTTTTTCAATATTTCTGTTTTGTGTTTGCTAGAGTTTGGATCTTGACTCCTCCCCAAATGTCAGGGCCTGGTCTTTGGCCAATGCCATTACAGGCAGGCAGTGGAAACTTTAGGTGGGCCTCATGGAAGGAAGTCTTGAGCTTCCTGCCTCCTGAGTGTGGGGGTTACAGGTGTGTGCCATCACACCCAGACCAACACCTCCCTTTTCCCACTGCAATGGACTATGTAGCGATAAGCCCAGAAGCAACTGACCATCAACTAAAACATCTGAGACTGGGGCCAAAATAAACCTCTCTTTCTTTCATGTGGTTTATATCAGGTATTTGTTACAGTGATAGAAAGCTAACACAGAGTTCTTGTCTAAAATTTACTCATAGTTCTTTTTTTTTTTCAAGGCAGGGTCTTACTGTTTTGCCCAGATTGGTTTTGAAGACTGGGGCTCAAGCAGTTCTTTTGCCTCAGCCTCCTAAGTAGCTGGGATTACAGCACACATCATTGCTTAGTTTATACTGTAGTCTCTATTTTAAATGACTGAGCACAAATGTAGCTGACTTTTTGAAAAAACAAATTAAGTCATCTAAACCCTTGAGGGATAGCTGTATTCTGAATCTGCCAATGTGATTCTGTGGTTTGCTTGGGACTGATGGATTCTTTTTACCTTAAAGTGTTAGAAAATAGGATTTTAATGTGTACACTGATAGAATAAGTAATAATAAGTAAATAAGGGCCAGGTGTGGTGGCACACACCTGTAATCCTAGCACCCGGGAGGCTGAGGCAGGAGGATCATTTTGAGTTTGAGACTAGCTTGGGCTACAAAAAGTGAGCTCAAGGCCAGCCCAAACTGCATAGTGAGACCCTGTCTCAAAAAGACAAAAAACTCATAAACAAACATGACAAGGGGATGTTTTCTTGTAGTGAAGTGCCAACTCATAAATGCAGAGGGAAGCTGGTATGGTGGTGCTTGCCTACAATCCAAGCACTCTAGAAGGCTGTGGCAGGAGGACTGCCATTCAAGCCCAGCTCAAGCAGTTTAACAACTTAGTGTTACTATCTCAAAGTAAAAAAAATTAAAAGGTCTTGTGATGCAGCTTAGTGTGACATCCCTGTGCTCAACCCTCAGCACCACACACAAAAAAATGATGCCCCCAAAAAACAGGAAGTCATGATTCAGTGCTGGGATATAGGGTACTCACCTAGGATATGTGAGGCCCTAGGTTTGATTACCAACACCACAAAAGAAGAAGAATTATGAACTTTGGTTCATAAACTTAATTCTATGATTCTGGTCATAAACAAAATTGGACTAGAACCAAATCAAATTAAATGGTTGGAGGCACTGGGTATATAACTCAGCAGCATGGTGCCTGCCTGGCAAGCATGAGGACTTGAGTTTGCTTCCAGGCACAATGGTTATGTTCAGTGTGGACCTTATGGGGAAATTATTTGGTTCTCATCCAATTTGGTTTGCAATCCTGTGGAAAGAATGATGTTTTTGAACCACCCTAACACTATACTAAATGTTTTATGGAACAACTATCAGTGAATATTAAATTAATAGGAAAGGCGGGCCAGGAAGAGAACCAAAAAGCCAGAACCCTTCTGAGAGCCAGCTGACACATGGGCTGGAAGACAAGAGCCAAGCAACTGGCTATAAGCAACCAGCTGATTCAGAGGAACACAGGCAGAGATGATAGCTACTGAAGTAAAAAAGCAACTTAATGCCTGTATTGTTTGATTGACTTTGCAGGCCTAAAGTTGAGCATCTATTTAGAGGATAATGCAATATAGCAACTATGGGGGATTTTTTCTGTCTTGTTTTTGAAATCCAATACTGTTCTCATTGTTTTGAATTTGTGTGCAAGAATAAATTTACTCTTACAGAACAATCCATTTTTTTTAAAGGAATCTGGTTTTGACAACATAACCACAATATCACATGTCTGCTCCAAGCTGGCTAAACAGGCAAAGAAACAGGAAAAAGTCCTTTAGCAAAGAAGACAGACATCCACAGAGCAGGTGATGGCCTCTAAGTTAGATTCAAAGTTCAGAGACTTACTAGTGGGTGATATAAATAAGACTAAATTCCTGATGGAAAGGCAGCATTTCATATTTGAGAGAAAGAAAACATCTAAAATACTGAGGATATTGAAAGCTTACCATTAAAGAAAAGAAGTACATGAACTGAGCAGCAAATTAGACAAAGCTCAGGTATTTGTTACAGTGATAGAAAAAGTACAATGGGGGCCAAGTTAAGAAATTATCCCAGAATGTGTTCCAAAATTACAAGGTCATAGGATGTATGGAAGGAGCAGCATGCAATAGAGATAACAGATGGAGATCACAATGTCCAGGTAGAAGTTCTAAAAGGAGGACTGTCATGGTTTATGTCTGTGGCCCCCAGGCCTCATGCATTTGCATTGTGCATTTGTGACTGGTTCATTGTCTAAGTGCTTGGATTGATGGTGTCAGTGCTACCTCTAGCTAGGGGTGGAGCCAGTATATAATGTAATGGCAGGAAGAAGGTGTGTCTTGCTCTCTTGCTGGTTTCTGCCTTGCTGTTTGCAGCTGCCAAGAACTGTGGCCCCGCCATGCCACCCTGCCTTGAAGCCAACTGAGGACTGAAACCTCCAAAAACTGTAAGAAATAAACTTTTCCTTTCTCAACTTTGGGCATGAGAAGTCTGAGAAGTTAAAGAATAAAGGGAAAACTCTGAAAAGAAAAATCACCAACAGATACAGGGACCTTTCTGACCTTAGCTGCAGATTTCTCATCAGCAATACTGGAAGCAAGCAAGAGAGTCACGCCTTCAACATTCAGGGAGAAAATGGTTTTGAACCTAAATTTCTGTACAAGGTTGAACTGGCATTGTGATACTAACATAAAGACATTTTCAGACCTGCAAAACCTCGGAAAATGTATGAGCCAAAAGGCCTTTATGAAAAATTTACTGAAAGATATTCTCCACTGGCCCTGAATCAAGGCTGGCAGCCTCCTGACACTGTTGGTTTCAAGCAGGAGCCTAAAAAGATGTCTTTCTATGATTTGTTGCCCATTTCATAACTTGAGCAATGAAACAGTTAATTCATTAGAAAGAAACAGCGTGAAGCAACCCTTCTCCATCCTACCCCTACCTCCTGTGAGCAGCTGTGAGCATGGTAGTCTGCAGTGGCCCAGGACAGGAGCCTCCAGCTTTTACTGGGACCTGTGCCATGCTGGGACCTGGAGCACTGAGAAACCAACCAACCCCTCCTCCTCTGGTGAGCAGTTGTGAGCATGGCAGGCTGCGGAGACCCAGGACAGGAGCCACCAGTGTTTACTGGGACCCGTGCCATGCTGGGACCTGGAGTGCTGGGAAACCAAGCAACCCCTCCCTGCCTGGTGAGCGGCTATGAGTGTGGCAGGCTCCAGTGGCCCAGGATGGGAGCCACCAATGTTTACTGGGACCCATGTTGGAATCTGGAGCGCTGGGAAACCAAGCAACCCCTCCTCCCCTGCCTGTTTTGTTTTGAACTTCAATATACGTGAAAGTATGGACAGCTATTTTGAAGAGAATGAGAGATTCTATGACAGCCATTAATGACTTCTGTATTGTCTGGTTTTGAAGACCTAAAGCGCCTTCCTCATTCAGTTCGGATCAGTTTTATATTATGTTGTTTTGTATGAATTCTTTGTATGCGAAGATATGGACAACTATTTGGAAGAAAATGAGGCAATATGATTGATAGTGAAGATCTCTGATCATCTAGCTTTGAAATTTGTATCTCTTACATTTCTTTCTTATGTTGTATTTTGTTCTGTTTTGTTGTGTTTAATTTTACTGCCTTTAAAATAAAAATAAAAAAATTTTAAAAAGAGAAAGATATTCTCCCACAAAATGGGAACACACATCAAGAAAGAAGACACCATAAAATACAAAGAAAAGTGGATAAACCTCTAAAAACCTCAGCACATAAAGCCACATCAAGAAATGGCTTGAATTTCTTGTTTATTAGAGGTGAAAGTTGCTAGGCCAGAAAGGAGGAGCTCTGTTTCTTCACAATGGAAGGGAAAAGGAAGCCCCAAGATGGAGTGGCAGGCAGCCATATGGCAAGTGAAGGGAGAAAGAACTCAGGGCTGAAGGAGAAAGATGGTACAGGAGGAGAAATCTCAGGGGTGAAAGAAGAGCTGGAAGACAAGGGGAAAGAAAACAGAGATAGAGGGGAGGCAAGAGGAAAAAAAAACCCTCAGGAATGGAAGAGGAAGAGGAGGAAGAGGAGGAAAGCAGCCAGAGGAAAAAAGAAACCCAAACACAGAGGAAGAAAAGGCTCGGTGTTACATGAGGAAACTGCTTGCGGTGATTTGGTTAGGGACTGAGAACAGAATGCTTTGGAAAAGGAGGAAACAGTTCTGCCCGGAGGTCAAGGAACTGTGATGCCCTGTATGACTCTGTATTTTACTTCTCTTTCAGAATGATTGGAGAGAAGTTCTAAACTTCTCTCCAGCACAAACTTTTAGTAAATCTTTCATAAAGGCCTTTTGGCTGGTACATTTTATGAAGTTTTCAGGCCTGACAATTTTTTATTTCACTATCACAATGCTAGTTCAACCTTGTACAGAAATTTAGGTTCAAAGCCATGAGCACAAAAGACATTCATGTACAATATGAGTGCTCCATCAGGAATCAAAATTTTTAAGGAAAATTTAAGAGGGACACAAGACCCTGCAAATAGAAGACCTGATGTCCCAAGAAGCCAACTTCATCTATGATATAGAAGGAAACTTTAGAAGAGTGGCCAACATTTTCAGAAAGATACAAGAAGAGATTGGAAATGTAAAGAAATACCATCCAGTCTTCTCTGAAATTAAACATCCAGTAGACAATATGCACTGTAGAACAGGTATACTCAAGGAAAGAATGAGCAATCTAGAAGATCAAATGGATGAGTTATCTAAGACTGCAATGACTGAGTAGCTAATGAACAGAGAAAAACCTCAAGTCAGAGAAGATAGGTGCACATCCAACATCTGTTTGATACGAGTCCCATAAAAAGATTTTAAAAAGAGCAGAACTGAGGATTAAAGAAATAACTGAAGAAAACTTTTCAGAGCTAAAGGATTCAATTCTTTTTTTTTTTTTTTTTGTCTTTTTATTGGTACCAGGGATCGAACTCACGACTGCCTGCTTGCGAGGCAGGTGCTTATGCCGCTGAGCTAAATCCCCAGCCCCAGGATTCAATTCTTGAGGTTGTCTGTGTCCACTGAATCCTCCACTTACTCCTATACACATCTTGGTGACATTCTGTAGTTTCAGTGAGAAGGCTTCCCCAGAGAGAAGAGAAATACCTAACGAGGAACAGAAACCTGGCTGAAGCAAGACCTTTCACATACGGTGCTAGAAGTCAATGGATGATAACATAACAGCCACAGGGTTATGGTAAAGAGCTTTCAATCTCAAATCCTGTATCTGGCCAAACTGACATTCGACCTATCCAGGTCAAACTCCTGGGGGTGGGGGTGTCTAAAAAACTTAGTACAACTGCTAAAATCCTAGATCTAGTTTTTACTCCTCCTGTCAATAGATGGGAACAACCTCTTCTATTCCAAGTCCCCACTCAGATGTCTTCTTAACCATCAGGATGAGTTCCACACTAAGACCTACCTAGAGATCACTTTTTATTTCTGTGTAGTAACAAATGGTCTATGCATCCACCTGGGGAAACTGAGACATGGCCACCCCTTGACAGCCTGCAATATAATGCCATATCTCAACTACATCTGTACTCTACAGAGCAAGACAAATGGTTAGAGGCCTGATCTGTAGCCTAGAAGTTGTCATCTCAGGAGCAGATGTTGGTGAGGCTCCCTCCTGCCAGTGTCTTCCAACTGACTACCTCCTCAGCAACCGGCTTAGTCAGTAATCACACGAGACAAAGGCCATCTCCTGAGTCCTCCCATACTTGGTCTGGCCTACTTCCATAGGGCCTTAGACTCAGGGAACCCTACATCTGAGCCTGCCACTGCTCTATCCCCTTCAAGGTGTAGCAGGCACCAAAGGCAGTCTGTATGCTAGTTCCTTTGTCAGTCAGGAGAAACTGGGGAGATTTTCTAAGGATCCTGAAAAGGTTCCCGATGGTTTCCAAATCCTAATGATGGCTTTTGATCTGACATCCAGTTTATCCTCACATCTTACTGCACAGCAGTAGAAAGGAAAAGGATTATAAAAGTTGCAAAACAGGTCAACGATGAAGTCTTTCCAGCTTCACTGTCTGATAATCAGCTAACTGTGGTATTATTATTTGGATCCCAGGAAGGGCTCAATGGAATTACAACACTGGGAGTAGAGAAGCTAGGAAAAGTTATACATCAAGGCCATGTTAGCAGGTACACAACAAGAGTTGCCCAATCTCGAACTTTCAGGAGAACATGGTGGACAGATAGCAGCAGCTACCGAGGCTCTCTGCGAGACCCAGCTTAGAATCCAGGAATGGTGTGGAGTGAGGAATCCTAAGCAAAAGGAGATATACCCTGCTGACCCAAGAACGAACTGGGCTGAGAGAAACCAACTGGTAATGCAATCCTGGTGCTATAACAGGAACAGATAAAGCCTCAGCGTGGAAGCTCGAGCCCGCACTATTGGAAGCCGCAATTTGGGTTTCCTGCCACTGCTGCTGCATCTGAATTGGCTCAGCAGGGAGAGAGAAGCGTGAAAGCTCTGAGAACAGGAATTGGTGCATCAACCTGCGGTGAGTGAGAGAAACTGTGACTCTTCCACCGTCTAGGAGGCTCCCACAGAGGATATTCTGGGACCGGGCAGACTTGCTGGAACAGGGTGCTGTAGTGACTTCAGTCACATATCCCCCTCTCAAGCGGGATTGGTGAGCAGTGCCTAGCCTACATGATGCTGCTGACTGAGACCCAGTAGGCTAGCACAACCCAGGTCCCAGCGCCTGGAGGAGCACCCTAGTGGTGAAGCCTTCAGTAGGTTGACCTGGAGGGGCAGGCCCCGCATAGGCTGCCCGTTCCATAACTCCCTGATGTGCTGCGGTGGGTGGGAACACCTAGCTGGCTCAATTCAATCAGACTGTGGCCGACAGGGAAGGAAGCTGGGCCTCCTATATACGCTTGCATATATAAGGAACAAAGAATATGGGAAGAGGGAGCAACAAGAAAGGCTCCTCGGCCCCCAATCCTGAGAAACAGGCAATAGCAAACATGGCACCAATAGACATAAAGTACTATCTCCAGAGCCTCATAGACAAGTTCAGGAATGAAGTTATTAATGACTTGAAGCAAGACCTAAGCAGAATAGTTAGAGAAATGCTAAGCACCACCCAAGAAAAAGCAGATGGTGGAATGGAAGAACAGAAAAAGAGGGAAGAATTGTTTGATGGAGAAAATAGAGAAAACATAGAATACATGAAGCAGGTTCAAAGAGATTACCAGGAAACTAAAAACTCTATTGAAAACTGGCATAACAGCTTGAAAGAAACTAAGGATAGATTATCTGAACTGGAGGGCAGATTTGTAATATGGGAGGATGAAATGAAAAACTTCTTAAAAATAACAAAGAAACAAACAGCAATAATACAAAGACTAGAAGATGATAAGAGGATCTATAACTTAAGAATTAAGAACATAAAAGAAGAGGTAGGGACACAAACAAATGAGCTACAAAAGCTACTCACAGAAATGATTCAGGAGAATTTTCCTAATTTAGCAAAAGGTAAAGATACTCAGATGTATGAAGCATATAGGACCCTAGCCACCTATAACCCAAACAGAGCTACACCCATAATAATCAAAATGCCAGAAATCCAATATAAGAACAGAATATTAAAAGCCATCAGAGACAAGAAACAGATCACTTACAAGGGAACACCCATCAGAATTACAGCAGACTTCTCGGCACAAACCATCAAATCACGAAGAGCATGGGGAGAAATAATTCAAGCTATGAAAGATAATAACCTCCAGCCAAGATTGATATATCCTGCACAACTATCCCTAGAAATTGATGGAAAAACAAGGTGCTTTCAGGATAAAGAGGAACTAGGGGAATATGCAACCACCAATTCAACTCTACAGACAATACTGCAGGATATTCTAAAAAAGAAAAATATGAAGAATCCAGAAATAGTGGCAGAGAGGCCACAATGAATGGAGCAGAAAACAAAATGAAGAAGATAAACTGACAACTAATGATAGAAAAAAGAGCTCAACAGAAATGAGGCAGAGAACATTGGATGATAGGAACAGCTATTTTGGGGAAAACGACGTCATAATAGGTAATGCTGATTTAGTATCATCTTGTTTTGAAGTCCCATCAAGCTTTTGTTCTTCTGTCTCCATAGGTCTTAACATGTTGTATCTTATTGGATTTTATTATATGTGATAGTATAAACAAAAACTTTTATAGACAAGGAGATTATACAGAAACCATTGTTCATTTTCTGTTAGTTGATTCTAAATACCCTGTAATACTGTCATTCTCTTGAATGGTTTTACATTGTTTTGATATATTTGATGCTACAGTATACGAAGTTATACTCAAAGATTTCAAGTAAAGAGACAATATGGTAACTACTTTTATGTTGGGATTATCTTGTGGTGAAACACTATTTTGCTTAAATGGTTATGTTTTGATCTGCGCTGTTTTATTGTTATGCCCTCTTTTATCTCAATTTCCAGTTTATTATTTACTTTTTAATTTTTATCCTTTTAATTAAGGGAAAAATAAATAAAAAATAGCAGGATATATTATAGTAACCCACTTTGATTTTCTATTAACTTGATTTGAAGCCCTGTATTGCTCTCACCATCTTGTTTTGACTGATGTTCCTCTATTCTGTTTTGCTTGATAGTACCAGGTTCGAAAGTTAAGGCAACAACTGTGAAGATAGTGGGATTCATTATGACGCCCATTCTGGTTGACTATTATCTATTCTTGAAGACCTGTAATGTCTCCAATGTTTTGGTTTTGTTGGTTTCGTTCTTTACTGTTTTGTTCAATTTTATTATAACTGATGATATAGGCAATTCTATTTGAGATAGCGGGAGGCATTATGGTAACCATTGTTGATCATCTTGTTTTATGTTTTTACATTATCTATTACTTTTAAGTAAACCAACTCTGTTCTGTTATGTCACATTTGGTTTTACTCTCTTCCAAAAAAAGTAATAAGAACTGTGAGAGCAATAAAACCCAAAATGTACAAAAGAGAGGGAAAGAAAGTGCTCTAAATGATATAACTGCATGTATATTTAAGTGTATAAGATAGACAAATGATATTACTGAGTTTTGTTGGATCATTGAACAGAACTGTTTACAGTCTCACTGTTTGAATGTCTTTATATTCTTTAATTTTGTAACTTGAACAAATATTTCTAAGATGACAATATGTAATCCATTAACTAGTGATTTCCTACTGTTTATTTTTTTTCTGAAATTCTGTATAACTTGTACCCTTTTTCTGCTTTTTTTTTCTTTTTCTCCTTAAATAAAATTAAAAAAAAAAAAAGAGTTGCCCAATCTCATGAACTGTGTTAAGCTCACATCTGTTAGGGGCCCAGTGAGAAGCCAGTTGCTTTTCAGCTTCAGCCTGAAGAGGCCTTCTGTGAATATACTACTTTAGACTGAGTCTAGAGGTTAGATTACCCTAAGGCACTATTTTATTAGTCAGCTCCAGAGATAAGGCAAAGGCTCCAAAACTCTCAACTGTGCCCATGAGATGAAATAAGCCAACTGGCTGATGCAGCCTATTCAGTGCTCAGTAACTGTGATGGCACAGAAGGCAAACGAGGACTGGATAAAGAACTGAGGGTGAAGACCATGCTCGCTCTGCCCGATAAGGCACATGACAAAACACACAACTCAGAGGAAGCTGAGGAATCCCAAAGAATGATGGTAACCAGTCAGAGTGCTTCAAGTGCAAGGATTAATCTCAGAACCCACCCAGCCTGAGCTATGCCCATAAGAACCTGTGAGAAGACCCCTCACCTGGAAGACAGACTACTCTTATCCCCAGAGAGGGACACAGTCACTCCTCACCATGGTGGTGGCCTTGGAAAGAAGGTCCAGACAGTGAGTGCAGATGGTGCCCAAGGCAGCCTCCAAGGCTCCTGCAGGGGAGCATCATGATTACCCTGCAGGAGCCTGGCGTAGCTGCACAAGCAGCAGGCAAACAGGCTGCACAGCTCCGTGCAATGTATTCAGTTCTAGTTTCCTCTCAGCATGAGCTTTCATCCCATTCCAAAGGTGTTAGGGGCCTCAAAGGAGTTAACCTCTGCTCATGCATGTCTTTGCTGACTCAGATGTTCCCTGAGCGTATCTTCCCATGATCCTAAATAAATATAGCTGCTTTTCATTTACCATTTACCATTGGATTGTATACTTTGCAATTCTTATTTGCTGTACCTAAGAGCCTGGAATGTATCCACTGGATCCATGCCACAATATTCATACAGTTAGACATAGCAGAGCTGACTGAATCACTCCAGAGCACTCAGGAGGCTGAGGCAGGAGGATTGCAGTGAGTTTGAGAGCGGTGCAGGCTACAAGGCCAGTCTGAGTTACACAATGAGACCATTTTACAACAATAAACAAATAAACAGAACATAAAGTAAATATGGGGATATCTGCAGAAATACAGTTACCAAGCACAGTACCACTTTGGGAACGTTAGTGAAGAACAGATAGGAATACATGGTAAACTATGTAGCCTTTCTGTAAATCTGAAGTTATTTCAAAATGTGAAAGTATTGTACCACAAGAATATAGAAATTAGCCTTAAAGGGTTCTCACAAGCCAATCTGGGAGCACCAAAATTGATTAGGTACAGTAGTGGCTATAAACCATTGAAAACATACAAATTTATACTGATCATAGATGATAAAAAGAGTGATCATAGATGATAAAAAGACCCTCTCTTTGGAGGGTCTTTGGATGGAGTAATTGTACTTCAATAAGGCTATTTTAAAAATGTGATCCACAGATTATGGATAATCAAGTGCAGTTTATCAATCTCAGTAAGTGGAATGTTAGTCAGCCTAAGGAAGGAAATCCTGTCACACGCTACAGAACAAATGAAACTGGGGTACACTGCGCTCTATGAACTGCCTTGTCACCACAGAAGTATCACTGGGTATCTAAAGTCATGAATCTAATCAGAGACTAAAAGACTATATGAGGTGTAAGGCTCGAATGGGACCTGACTCTCCCAGCCCACAGTCTGCCTGCCAGCAGCAGGGAACTTAGCCCAGCACCAAGGCCATCCTAGGTGAGTGCAGGATGTCATAAAGGGGGTGAGACAGGACCAGGAATTCTGCAGGCCCTAGGACATCTAGGGACACCTGAAAGTTTACACTGGACCTTCCAGGACTCTGTCCATTGAGGTGCAAGACAGCCACAGAACTCTGAGCACATGTTAATTCAAATCTCCCCACTTAAGGTCCTCTGCCTTCTCTCCACCATGGTGAGGAGTGACTGTGTCCCACCATGGTGAGGAGTGACTGTGTCCCTCTCTGGGGATAAGAGCAGTCAGAGGGACACATTTCTCTTTGTTCCCTACAGCAGGTCTTTTTGCTGTCTGCCTACACTCAGGCACAATAAATTCCACACTGTGTTGTCTGTACACAAGCCTGGTGGTCACTGCTGGTTCCCTCTTGCCCTGTGTGTTACACAAAGTAAAATACCAGTTACCAGGAAGTTAAGGGAAGTTATTTTTTTTATTTTTTATTTTTTTGCCTTTTTCATTTTTATTGGTACCGGGGATTGAACTCATGACCGCCTGCTTGTAAGGCAGGTGCTTATGCCGCTGAGCTAAATCCCCAGCCCCTGGGAAGTTATTATTAGTTGGTACAGAGTATCCGATTTACAAGATGAAAAGTTCTGTTTCATAGAAACATGAACATGTATGTGGTATTACAAAATATAACTTTAGTTTTGTTTTGTTTTTGAGACAAGGTCTCACTTTGTAGCAAAGAGTGGAATTGAACTCACTATGTAACTCAGACTAGCCTTAAACTTTGGGCATCCTCCTGCCTCAGCTTCTCAAGTGCTAGAGTAACAGGCTTGTGTCACTATGCCTGGTTCAAAACAAAACCTCAAAAGAAATTTTTTTCCAATAGACAATAGTGGCTACTCCAGACATCCTCATGCCTGGGGCAGAAATGGCTCCCACTTCTTAGCCCAAAGGAAAGGACAGAATGTGCAGATGCTATCATCAGGTCAAACCCAATTTCATTCCCTTTGGCAAGGGAGAGAGAGGGCTAATGGAACTGGCCTAAAAAAACCTGTTGTTCCACTGTGTTCTCTCCCACACTACTCCTATAAAAAACCCTGGCCCACTGTTATGGTTCGTAACTAGATGCCCCAAAGCTTCATTCAGTCCTGGCAGAGGTGGCTGAATCCAGAGTGTGTGATCAGTTCACTGATTGCTTTTTTTTTCTTAATTTTATTTAAAAGGAAAAAGAGAAAAACACAAAACAAAACAAAGCGGTGTAAGGGTACAAATAATACAGAACTACAAAAAAAAAAAAAAAAACAGTAAGAAATCACCAGTTAATAGATTACACATTATCATCTTAGAGATAGCTTCTCAACACTGATTGGTTTGGCACTGCCATAATCCCAACAGCCTGGACAGAGTATAGAAGAGGCAGACGGATGCTGTTAAATTCACTCATTGCTTTTGGTGATTTGCCCACCATAAAAAGCTGCCCCTCTGCCATGCCTCCCTGCCTTGGAGCCAGCTGATTATGGACTGAAACCTCCACAAACTGTGAGCTAAATAACCCTTTGTCTCAGCAATGAGAGAATAGTAACTGAGTCACCACCTGTATACAATGAGCTGGTGATTAGAGGCAAACGGACTCCTTCATCTTCTCAGAGCTAACCTGAATACATCCTTTCTTTTTATCCAAATACAAGACAACCTTTGACTGGATCAGCGGTGAGCAGACAACGCAAGAGTATGAAGCTAAGTGGTGGGTAACAGTAACATAGGAAAGAAATTAAGAACTTACATCTTGTTAGCTTCTTTGGACTCTCTAAAGGCACTGGCAGGTTATCGCTGTGTTCCAATCCCTTTTGAGGAATCCAGCCTGAGGGTAGGGAAGAAAGAAATATCTATTGTTAATGAAGCAAGAAGTAGCATCAGGAAAACAAGAAACAAGAAAAGATTATCTTAAACAGGTATAAGTACTCCAGTCTTTGTATGAGGATACAATTTTGTAGTATAAAGGTAGAAAAGACTGCCAATTTATTCACAGTTATGTATTTTAATCATCCAAGTGATTTATTTCAAAGTGATTTTGAAACAAATATACAGTTAAGTAGAAACTGCAAATGCAGGTCTGCTCTGAAAAGTTCTAAGCAATCAGGAAGAGAAGGCCTGAGAATTAGAATTTTGAAACATATATTTATACCTTTGCACTCAGTAAATGCATTCCTAGAAATTTATCATAAGGAAATAATTTAATGAAAAGAAAAATACATGCATGGTTATAGCACTCTCAGTAACAGTGAATAAGCAGAAATAGTAAGGAGGGAATTAAGCAGGCTGTGGCTTACACTGATGAAATGCCACGTAATTTAAAAATGGCATTATGAAGACTATCATCACAGGGGAGCATCTGCTACAACACAAAAGGACATAAAGGAAGAATTCACATTCTCCTGATCACTTGTCTGTACAGTAGAGGTGGTTCGAAGGTCAAGGACGATGGTGAGTACAGCTGGAACATCCCCTCCAAGACTTCCGTTGAAATGTGACACTATGAACAAGGTGACCTCTTAGAGGCAGCTGAATGGACTAATGAGGACAGGTTCCAAACTGCTCCTGGCCAATTCCCCACTGAAACCAATGGGAAGGTCAGCCTGAGGGGGAGCTGGATTCCTTTGCAGAGACCAATTCTCTGTGTAGAACTAGTGAAAGCTGGGACAGCAACTGCAAGACCCTGGCTGGGGCTACTCCCCAGTAAGTTCTCAGAGACCCCAGAGAAAGCTGAGTCTCACCAGCTTGACGGCATCCAGCACAGAAGTCTCCACTTACCTTTCACCTACATTCACCTCATCATACATGAAGTGAGGGCAAAATCTCTCAGTGTTCTTCAGATAACCCCTTTCCCAAAATGACCCTGGACAACTCCATCAAAGCCCTTGCTTAAGCCTCCATTAAAAGAGTTGGGCTACAGGTTTGGACTTTTCTCTGTCCACTAGTGTGACTCCTCCCTCCTCCCCCGCCTTCAGATGTTTCTTGATTAGCCTGGAACGCGTCAGAGTCTTGGTACATTGGCCCTCATCCTAACTTTCATAGAATCAATATCTAACAAATAACCCACAAAGGTCAAAGTTAAGGGCGAGTTCCCCCAGGAACTCCCTGAAAGCTGGCAGTGCTCAGGCAGGGACTTAGTTGCACAACTCACTCAGCCTTCCTTTAGAGCCTGCAGCAGGTGGCGAGGACGGCTACTTCTCTAAACAAGAGTCCACTCAGTACCATCACTCTCTCTGTGGAGATCAGGCTAAGGGAATATCCTTTCAAGGGTTCCTATTGCTCCTGGGAGACCTCAACAATTTATTCTCTCCAAAGCCACTGATCCACCCTGAGGATCAGGGTCTGGGCACCCTAAAGGGATGCTGTGTTGGCACAGAGTGTGGCTCTGTCCACCTGCCACACAGAGGAGGGATCTACAGTCTTGCTGTCACAGGCAGAGAGATGAAGAAGAGGTAACAAAGGATATAGGGTGGTGGCACATTTATCTTCAAATCTGTTTTATAAAAAACCCACTAAAACTCAAAAGGAGACTTCCTGCTATTTCCCCTGTCTGTTATTGCTGTCTGCATGCAAAAGGAGTTTACTATAGTTCTCTAATCCAGAGGAACAGCAGTCAGAAGAGAACTACAGTCCAAAGTGAGATAAATGTCAGTCTAGTCCATCTTCAGGCAGTTTTTGTTTTCACAGTATACAGGGGTTTTTCTTTCTCATTGTCTGTCTCTTTGTCTCTGTCTCTTATTTTTTTTTCTAGTTTTTTTTCCAAATCTATTTTATTTCAAGAATAAAAAAAGAAGAAAAACTACAATAAAATTTCAAAACACGTCAATGAGGAGGCAACAACTGTACATTTTGTCTCTTATTGGCTTTATCTTATTACAAGAGATATCAGTGCTACTTTACACCTAAAAAGTTCTAACTATTTGTAATTACAAATCTATAACAGATTATTACAATTCAACTTGGTTATACATCTAAGAATGTACTCTGACTTAAAAATAATTGTTGTGTGTGTTCTGTTTTTGGCTTGTTCATTTAAATGGACTGAGATTTCTACAATTGTTTGTTAAAGCTTTTTGAGCACATACCAATTTTGTTTTTTTTTTTAATTTTTGCTCTCGTAAACTTCTGGCTCTCTTGACCTTCGATAAACAACTGATTAACTGGGTTTTTAGAAAAAGCAAAATTTACTAAAACATTACAGGATGAGACGTAATGTGGGCTACAGACTTACAAATGAGTCTTACAAATAAAAGCCTTAAAATTGGGTAACAAAAACTTATACATGATTTAAACTAATGTATATGTTGCTCTATGACAATTTTCAGATACCTGTTTTACTTAAATTGGCTTATCAATAAGTAAGAACTCATAATATTAGCCCAAATATCTTTTTGTTTTTTGTTTTGTTTCTTTTGGTCCACACAGCTTAACAGCGGGCTAGTTTAAATCAGTTTAAAAATAAAAATCTTTAAATTTGGTGACATTTTTCCCATCCAAGTTGTTTGCCAATCAGAATAATTTCAAGAGTTGATTTTATAAAAGTGTTTATTGTTGTCTATCTACAGTGATTTAACAGTTTTTTTCTTGGGGCTGGGGGTTTAGCTCAGTGGCATAAGCACCTGCCTTGCAAGCAGGCAGTCATGAGTTCGATCCCTGGTACCGATAAAAAGGAAAAAGACAAAAAAAAAAAAAAAAAGAGTTTTTTTCTTGGTCAAAGAATGATAAAGAATGAATATACATATAACTTTAAGAGATGTTAGGGGCCAGGGGATTTAGCGCAGTGGCACAAGTGCCCGTCTGGCAAGTGCAAGGTCATGAGTTCAATCCCCAGCACCAAAAACAAACAAACAAACAAAGAAACAACAACAGTAAACCTTTAAAAGATGTTAACTGTTACAGTTTACTTCCCATAAGACATCTAAAATAATTATTAAGTAGAGGCCCCCTTGGTTTGGAGAAACTACTGGACAAGACTCTTCTCTGAGGGTAAAAAAGCAGCTGCATGAATCAATTTTAGTTTTGTCCATTGATAAGATTTCCTGGATTTTGTTTCCAAAGTTTTTTTAAAAAAATTTTTTTTACTTTATTTGTTAATATTAAGAAGAAAAAGTAAAACAAATTTTCACAACAAAATAATGAAAAAGTAACAATTGTTGATAAATTATACATCATTATCTTTAGTCACTCAAGTACAAAATATGGGCATAAAAATTTCTTCAATCAATATTAGCACAACCTTTCCTATTCAGTGAACTAAGTGACACTAATGGTATAACTAACTTGCATTTTTTTCTTTTCCCTTCTATCTTTTCTCTTTTCCCCTATCTTAGTTTCTTCTTTTTATTGAACAGTTTCCTCCCATTTCACAGTGACTATTGTAAATTTTGAACCTTATGGTTGCACATATGTCACTGTGGTGTGATGTTTTTCAATCCTTCTGGGAAGATACACAGAAGGGGAATACCTGGGTTGAATGGGACCTCTAATCCTAATTTTTTGAGGAATCTCCACACTGATTTCCACAGTGTTTGTACTAGTCTACTCTCTAACCAACAGTTGTAAAGGGTTTCTTTTTCCCTACAGACCCAGTAGCATTTTTTATTGGTTGATATTTTTTTTAATTAAATAATTTTTTAATGAATAAGGGAGAGGATGAGATAAAAGGGGGCATAACAACATAACAATACAGGTTAAAGCATGACACTTTCAGCAACCTAGTGCTTCACCACCAAATAACCCGACTTAATAGTAGTTACCATAGTGTCTTTTTCTTTGAAATATTTGAATATAACTTCATATGCTATAGCATCAAACATATCAAGACTGTGTAACACCATTCAAGTGGATGAAAGCATTGTAGAGTATTTAGAAACAGCTAACAGAAAAAAATGATCAATGGTTTCAATATTATCTCTTTGCCTATAACAATTTTGTTTATACTACCACATACGATAAAATCCAGCACGTTACAACATGATAAAATCAATGCAGACAGAAGAACCATAGTTTGGTGCGGCTCCAAAGTTTTATAGTGACACACTCCAAAAATGTTATTAACTACATTATTATATTTGAGTTGGTTATTACTGAAAGGACATACTGCCTATGTCTACAACACTAAGGGTTTTTACAGCTAAGGGTTGTAAGACATTACAATGCTTGTGGTTAAACTTACAAAACTAGATTTAAAACAAAAAGTTCTCAAACTTCCAGGAGAACATGGCGGACAAATAACAGCAGCCATGAAGGCTCTCTGAGATTACCAGCTTAGAATCCAGGAGTGGTGCTGTGTGAGGAGTCCTAAGTGAGGGGAGATGTACCCTGCCGACTCAGGAACGAACTAAGCTGAGAGAAACCAACTGGAAATGCGATCCTGGTGCTATAACAGGAACAGATAAAATCTCAGCTGCGATTTGAATTTCCTGCTGCCGCTACTGCATCCCAAGGCGCACGGCAGGGAGAGAGACGGATGAAAGCTCTGAGAGCTGCAATTGGCGAAAAAAACGGTGTTGAGAGCGGGACTGGCAGGAAGCCCTGCATCGACCTGCAGTGAGTGAGAGAAATGGGGACCCTTTCATAGACTAGGAGGCTCCAACAGAGGACATTCTGGGAACGGGCAGACTAGCTGGAACAGGGCCCTGCAGTGACTTTAGTCACATATTCCCCTCTCAAGCAGGAGTGGTGGGGAGCGCTTGGCCTGGTGACGCTGCGAACTAAGATCCAGTAGGCTAGCCCAAATCAGGTCCCTGCGCCTGGAGGTACACCCTAGCAGTGAAGCCTTCAATAGGTTGATCTGGAGGGACGGGCCCAGCAGAGGCTGCCCAGGTC